AACATACCAGACGCGAGAATTTCAATTTCACAAACGAGATATTATTAGAAATTTCAACAGCGTGGCAGACGAACGTTTTCCGAAACGTCCGTAGGATAATCTTATCCGACGAAAACAATGCAGAAGTTTCTTCAGGGATAAACATTCGGACAAAAGATTGAAAACGTACAACATCGATGTCAGATAATGAAAAAATTAATAATGTCGAGAGGCCGATGCGTTGTTCCGTTGCGCCACGTGGTTCAAGTGTCATACACTTTGTGCGACTTAATTGGCGCAAAAATACATGAAGAAAATGTTTGCAGGTGTTTTTGGGTAACGACTGAACCGGCGATATACAAACGTTATGTTCTTAATGCAAACGCAGAAAGACACGTGTGTCTTGATACGCTGCCAACGACGCGCAATAAATCCGTGCGAGTCGAACGGAGAAGCCTTCGCCGTAAAAGCGCGAACGCGGCCGATTTAAAAAATTGCAGCTTTCTTCGAGCAATAACCTAGTTGCTCTTATTAATATTAATCGCTTTGTTTATGTCACTTGCGCGTGTCGCGCGGAGAAAGAGAAAAACAGAGAGAGAGAGAGAGAGAGAGAAAGCGTAAACGAGAATGCATAAAATAGGAAGTACAGGACGGATAACTCGCGCGGTCGTAAGGATAATAAACGATCCTGTAAATCATTTCGTTAAGAACTAATGACCGACTTGGTACGCGCTAGGTCGGTTCTTCCGGCTCGTGATGTCATTCATTCGGGAAGGCGTGCAAATCGGAAACGAGTCCGCCGAGCTCATTTTCGGTCCTAAACACGGGCGGTTTAATTGCGCCTTGCGAAAACACGGCCGGCTGGCCGATCGATTCTCCCTGCGCGTTTACTCAGTTCGTCGGTTTGACTTTACGAAAATTGACATCTCGAGTTTCGAGAAACGCGCATCGATTAGCTTGATTCGGCCGAGCAGTCCGAGATATTTTTAATTCGGTGTAAAATTTCGATCCAAAGCGAAGATTGCTTTAGAAAACGCGTGTGATGCTTTAGATGCGAATACAATTTGCGAAGTGTCTGTGATAAAAGTATCAAGACATTGATAAAGCGGAAAGAGGGTAAGATGAGAATTTTTCCTCATTTTCATAATAACGTAAAAATAATGATCAATTTTTCTTCTGAAGCAGCCTAAAGCCTTGCCTATCATCCGCATGAACTGAAACATTTATAAATATATTAGAATTTGGTTTTTAATGAAAATTTCTTGAGAATTTTTCAATTTCGTCATCTTCATATGTTCTTCTACGTAAGTTAAAAGTAAATTCTTTATGCAGGCGAAAAATAATTTTACAAGTGTACTAAATCGATCAGAAATGTCATTTTATGAGTATATCTTTTTATTTGAACGTAAAACGCAAGAATTCTTGACATGTGTTTTCTTGCTTCTAACGTCATCAAATAAGGACAGTTGCAGCGACTATCTAGGAGACTTAAAAAAAATTGCAATATGAGAAATAAAAAGTAATACGTTATATTATATGCATTTATAGATATATTATACAGTAATTTTATAGAAAAAATGAAAATATCCATTATATAATTCTTGAAAGAATATCATAAAATTACATATGGATGTATCCAAAAAATACATTTCTTAGTATATTATTGTCGTTGACAAATTCAAATTACAACAAACTGTTTATTAATATTAAAAACTTCTAATGAGTTGGATTATTTGTATTTAAACGACTGGTTAATTGTTAATAGTTCAGAAAAATGAGCAAATCGTCATCTTACCATGTTTTCTTCTTATTCGAATTAGAAGTGATGGAAAATAATTTTTGCCCGTACGGCACGTAATGTACCTTTAGTTTTTGTGTAGTACGTCAAGTAATAGTTAATTTTATTTCTATGGAATTTCAATTCGAGAGAAATTTGCAGAGATGCGTAAATTGGTATGCGAAAGAATTGCGAAAGAATATAAAATATGAAGTCGTTATTATATGCAATATCTAGACGAGAATATTCAGTTGGGATTTGTCCCTCTCTCTCTCTCTCTCTCTCTTTCTCTCCTATATCCCGCCTGAATTGACATATTATTAAATTTGCGATTTGGATTCATTCGACTGGATTTAAAAGCGTTTGTGGCGCGCACGGGAATGGCGAATTGTCCGCGTCAACTTTTGTTTGCGTATCGCGATTAAATTTGTACTTCGCTGCGCTAATTGCTCGGGACAATGGCAATTTAACGTGCGAATTTGTTAATAATCCGTTTGGAAAACTTTCGCATATTTGTAATGTGCGCGAAGGCCACGCATCCGATAATTGGGCGCCCGGTTAATTACGCGTGTCGTCGTTTCGCGCGCCCGAAAGGATACGAATCGATCGGAGGCGATTCCTGAAATTATATTCCTGCGAAACGACGATCCCGCCGCTGATGCGGTGCCTCCTAACTGATTGCGGCCTCCGCTCGTAGTACGTTCGTTAGAGCGAGGTTTCGCGGGGATTTATCGGCGCCTTGCGGACGTTCGAACGCCCCTCGCGGTAATTCTTCCCGCGACAAAGAGAAGCCGCGGCAATTTTTCCCGCCGCCTAATCATCCAAGCCCGTCGACACGTTTCGGTGATAAATTACGGCGAGCGGGCGCCCACGCGACTCGCTTCGTCTTCGTTATCCGAAATAGCGAAATGCTTGAAAGGAAAGGGCTCGCGCCGTTCTCATTTGTATATGCGCACCCCCTGTCTTACCTTCTCTTGTTTTCACGTTTACTCCCACCGTTCGCGCTCGCTCTTACGTATTACCGCTCCCTGCCTCTCGCATTTCAAACAATGGGACGCTCGGCTCGTAATCGATGAGTGCCAATACTATTAAGTTTCTCTTCTTTTTATACACGAGAAGTAAGTAATCTTGGGAAAGAAGGAAGGGTCGCTAATTACAATCAGTTGACAAGAGTTAGTTGTGTTAACTTGAAATCAGAAATAATCTCTTTTCTTTTCTCTTTAGGAACTTGTCAATTATTACACCGGTCGGTACACAAATATCACAATTGTATCCTTGATCTAAACCATTAATTCTAGTTGATCTTATAGTGCTGATCACAACTGTAACGATTAAAATCAAAGCTTAATTATACACTGAGAAAAATTATCGTTACTTTCGGTCTCAACTATATCCTTGTTGTGGTTTGAGTCGCAAAAATAGTAATAGAGTAATATGCATATAAAATTATTATTATTGATACTATACGTAACGCTTACTAGGAAGATGGTTCTTCTGATTATAATTCTTTCACTACGATGATTATAGTGTTACAAGTATCAGATATTTTTCTCTCTGTTTGGTTTCCGTATTATAATAGACAACAATCAAAGTAAATTTCTACAAAATTATCTTTTCGGAAGCTACTTTTCTGCGTCGAACTGATGTACATGACAGTCCTGCAAAAGTTTGTGAATGAAACATATGTTTCAATTTTTTTCTACGAAGATAGAAACTTCTAATTTTCTAATCTTCCGTTGTAACTGTAATCATGTTGAGAAAATCCATCTGATAACGTACTATTTCAAAGGAAATTTAGTTTTTTGACGGTATGAAACGTGAAAATAAAAAAAATTATAATAAAAATATGTTCCGTTATTTTATTTTCTTAATTCTTATGTCACATAATTTACAGAAAATTAAAATAAAGCTTCTACTTTCTGAAACTGGAGTTAAATAACTTTTCGGTCATTTTTTGTTTCAACACGCGTGTATAAATAGAAACAAAAATTGAATTTTAAGAAAGATGAAAAAACTCAAGAAAGAAAGATACAATTAAGCCAAATTTGTTGATTAGTGTTATTCGCGAAGTAATTTCCGAGAGTACTCGAATCACCAGAACTGGTGCGTCGCGCGTGTTGCTTACTTTCTGATGAAAATTCGGTCTCGCCCGTGTTTGGCCAGCAATTATGCGATATCGACTGTGCCGGAGTTGCATGCCGAAATTATTACCGCACGATATACAGTTCGACATTGAATCGATAGTGGCCGGTAATGGAATTGAATATTTAACTTGACGATATTGGTTTAGCTACCATCGATTGTCGTTTATTTAGCAATGTTAGCGGCGTTATAACGTTGTCCAAAAGTCGGTACGCTGTCGTTTGCACAGGTGTTCACCTGGTCCACCCGGTGCACAAAAGCGCAAGCATCACGGATGATCCCGGCTAAGTGATTACGTTGCGCTGCGTTGCACGGACAAGCACGATGGAACAGTAGGGTGTATTTTGCGTTAAGTGTCGGATTTACAACGAATCTACCCGCAACGGGAATTCTACACGCAACGCGGATTAGTTGTCAACACGTATCGATTTATAGGTTGAGCTACGCTGATTGCTATTCGAAAGGGAGTTACAATTTTTTGTCGCGCGAATAACAAGCCTACGTGCTCTCGATTATTTTACGTGATCAATCTCTTAAACACGTTAATCTCCTATCACGTAACAATATTTATCATTCTTCTTCATAGATTGTATTCATGCAGAATACGGAAGCAATAAAATTTACAAATATTCTTAAATAATATAATGATAAGTTTATAACACACGTATTATCAATTTATGAATATATTACAAATACATATTTATTATATATAGTTATATTATCATTGGTTACTTTGTTATACTATTATATATTACTTTGTTATACTATTATATATTACTAATTAAAATTATATCTCCCCCTGTATTATAACATACATAAATTTATAACTATATTATATTAAAAATATTTTTCATGATGATATAAATATATTGATTTTCTTTATGAGGGTTTCGAAGAATATTTCATTCATTTCATTCATTTCTCCCGATGGGAGAGATATTTTAAGTCTGCCACCGTGACGTTTCTAAAGATACCGGCCTAATCATGTTATAATCTTCCATTTGGCTCCACTCACAAGTGGATCCCTGAAAAGATTGAATTACGGTGTATTCGCTGGAGACTTCGAATTAATCTAGGTTTTCTCTTTTTCGTCTCGTTTCAGTGCCAGACCACATAAGACCCCGCGTGCACAGTCTACCGGAAAAGGCATACAATCCCAGGGCCAGCGACGACCTGTACAGACTCCGGGCGTTCAGTATTACTCACAAGGGGGTCGTGAATCGGGGCGATTCCATTATTTCCCGGCGTAGCAGAAGCAACACCTCTGTCAACAGCAGCAGGTGAGTGACAGATTACTCTCTATGACACCCGATGCGCGCGGTGGTATGAATTAATGTTACCGTTAAATTACCGGTCTTCTACTTTCCCCCCGCGCGGCACTTGAGCCGCCTCGGAGCTCGGTATTTCCGTAGCTCGACATACGTAGAACTTTGCGACGAACGGCTGCATCCGGATCCTACTCGGTAAGTAAGCTTCCGACGGAAGTTATTGCCTCAAAATGTACGGGATATATAGTACATCCTTCGCGCTTGAGCGCGTTGTATTATTTTGCGGGTGAGTAAGGCTAAGTGTTACATCGGAGCTGCTGTTATTTAAGGTGCACGCTGTGTACGACGGATTTACTCGATAGCTACATACAGAGAGAGAGAGAGAGAAGAGTGGTAGAATCAATGAAATTTTGCTTAAACTTGTTACTTTCTACAACGTAACTTCGCGACACGTGACTGACTTTTGGTGCACGACGAACATGTGCATACTTAAATTCGCCGTGCCAATGCCCCTTCGGATATGGGAAGGCCAAATATTGACTCCAGAAACCGACTACTCCTCTTACCTGACGTCAATATTGATTCAGGAAGTTAGATGAAACGAAGCATCTCGTTGGCTTCATATCAAGGGAAAAAAGCCGAAAGCCGGGGAGCAAACGAGTGAAAGAAAGAGAGAGAGAGAGAGAGAGAGAGAGAAAGTGGTATGGCGACATAAACTCCAGAGCGCCGAAGGAAGGAATTGGTGAAAACGTAGTAATCTCAAATACATGATGTCTCCTTCGACAGCGTTTGAAAAATATTTCTCTTTCAATACCCCTAAAGCCGTCCGCCCTTCTTTCTCTCTTTTTTACCCTTTCTCCTACAGTCCCTTCTTGTTTAATCACTTTTCCCTCTTCTCTCTTTCTCCCTCTCCTTCTCTTTCTATTTCTTTCTATTTGATGTTACCACTCAAGCACGCAATCTCAGGAAAAATGAAAGAAAATTCCATGAGAATACATATTGGGAGTCTAACTTTGCGAAACTTTGTTAGGTCGGCCCGATCCCTTTCTTTCTCTACTTCAAAGAAGAGGGCGAATCAATGAAATTTCTCACGTCTCTCTCCTTACGTGATAGAAATAGCGTGTTAGACTATTTCGGAGAGCGCATATATTCTAACAGTTATAACTTTATTTCACTCTTGTTCGGCCTTATGAATTTCTGCCGATAAGGTATTAATTCGCGCGGCCCTCCGTCATGAATGATTTCCACCGTTGTAAGAATTTTAACGAAGCTGGAAGCCGAAATAGCTCAGTCCGCTTCATCATCGAGATTCATCTTTTATTAGATTCAATTTTGATCGTTTCACTTTAACGCGCGTATCAATTTACTTCTTATTTCCGAGCAGCTGTAGTGACGTTTCTCGCAATAAATCTCTCCGGCACTCAAATTTTAATGCCCTCTCACTTAGCAAATTAAACGGAGCGAGTCGCTTAAGTTCGAGAGCGAACCGCTTTACGAGGTTAAACGGAAATTGCGCGTAGGCCCCCCGTTTTTACAGTTACTTCATTTTTGTTTGCGAATCTCGCCGGGAAAGCGGAATAACTCTCATAAATAAACTGCAACCGGAAAGGTCTCGCGAATTGGAAAAATCTTTTCACGCGCAACGGACTGTGTGACAAAATAAATATGAGAGCTCAGAGACTTGTAGTTTCTTTTTCTAAAACATACGAGTACTTAAAATATGCAGATGCGACCCTCCTTGGTGGGATTTGTCGAGTTAACTCTTCTATGCACATTCTGTGTCTTACAAATGAAAGGTATTTCTATCTTAATCGATTTCTGTTTTAACCAAATTGCGAAATTACAAGTAATTAAAAATTACGAGAAAAAAATAAAAACCTGTTACTGCAAGATTAAATTGATATAGTTCAGAATTAATGTTTAATATATAATAACCTTCTCTCAAAAACAATTTTTTTTTAATATTTAAAAAGAACAATTACTCGCGTGTATTTGGTTCCTTTTTTACCTTTCTCTTAAAAAATGTAATTTTTTGTAGATTTCGGTTACATGAATAAGTAGTATCGTATCCGACAGTATTAATCGACAGACTTGGGCACTTGATTGATGAAAAAGCAAAGTTTCTAAAAGTTGTCATCGAAAAAGTGAAGGATACTGATTTATATAAGCATTTCTTTTATGCATCGGTTTGGAGACCAAGTTTTATTTCAGGTTGTTCTTTGACGTGTGTATCGAAAAACTTGACGAAGACTTGTCGATCAAATGAAATTGCTGCAGTTACCCAAAACCTATTTAGAATGATAATAATATCATTGTCAAGAATATTCTAGGGCAAAATTTTCCGTGTAATTTATTTTAATCGGATATTTTCCTCTAAACATTCCTACTTTTCCATTAGTTAATAAAATTTTATAAAAATATTCTCAAGTATTAAAATTACATTATTACAATTTATTACAATTACATTTACAATTTATTACTATTACAAATATTACAATTACATTTAAAATATTTTCATTTCTTATTTTCATTTCTCATTTTCTCATTTCCCTTTACGGTAAAATATGTGATATTGTAATCCATTGCTTCTTTAATATTGGACCGACTGTGCCTCTGTCAATACTACAAGCTCATTCCTTTGAAAGCGAAGGCCCATTTAAAAAGCAAATATCCTCATCTGTGAAACCTAGTATCGCGATAAAGTTTCACGATTAAATATCCAAGTATAAATATCCGAAAGGGAATGTAATCTACCCCCTATTCCCGCGATAACAGGGACAGAGTGTTATCGTGCATGCGGGGGTGGATATTTATCGCGGAGCAGCATTTAGGTACAACGATAAGGTTACGGACGAATCTCGTGATAAAAGAATTTCGATAAGTGGCCTTTATACAAGAACGAGGTCGGTGCCTTCTGCATATTCTGAAGTTTGCAATTACTGAAAATGTTTGTCACTTATTTCTGGGTGGATCGATCAATTTTGTCAAGCGAGAGCTTAACTCCCTCTCGAATCGACTGTTCTCGTTGGATACCTGCGTAGAATGTATTTCGCTTCTGTTATTGACCTGCCTAGACAACAATTCTGTCCTAGATTGATATAATATGATGAATTGCATCTTCGACAAGTACCTTTTGAGCTTTATTCTGCGTGCACAGTAAAACCATATTTTTTCGTACAGCCATACTGTAAATATAAGTTTGTACGTCACAAAAAAGTACTATACTCCATATAGTTATCTTTCAAGCATTCAAAACGGAAATACAGATATTTGTACTATTTTGATAACTTCGGTATTACGATTTAATTATTATATTTAACTATTTAAAAAAAATTATGAGATAGGCTGGTAAGTTCGATTTCTGCACAACGAATACTGCTGTATAGGATTTGGTAAAAATTAAGTTTTATTTCTAACTAATTTTTAAATTAAACGTTAAGAGCCTATAAAATTAACTTAGTCAAATTAAAAGTTACTTAAACAAAAACTTAATTAAAAGCTAAATTAAATTAAATCAACTTATTAAAGTTAAAAGTTAATTATACTATATGTGTATGATTTTAAATTATATACGTATGTTTTTCTGCATAAATAATCTTTTCATATTGTAGATTAAATTTATATGAAATAGTAAAGAGGTAGTCTACTATAAGAAAATGTCGACTGTTTCGTTCTCAACATTCCATAAAGAAAGAGCATTAACATTTAAAGAGACGAGAAAGAGATTCTACTGGCATTACTTTTATTTTTTCTTATTCCTCATTGAGCAGCTCAATGATTTTAATATTGATAAATTATTTTAACTTGTATAAAAAAAGTAGTTAGTTAAAGTTAATTTTAAAGAATTGTAGATAACTAAATTAAGAACGAGCTCATTTAAAATTAACTAAACGTTAAGTTAAAAATTATTAATTTTTTAACTTTTAACCGATTAATTAATTATTACCCGACGCTGTCATATTAATGATATGACGCTGTCATATTATAAAATAACGGAAAGTCAGTTGTTCTCAAATTATTGACTAAAATAGGCGAAATCAATAGAAAGGGGATATTGAAATTAATATTGAAGTTTCGAATATTAATATTTACTTCCCGCTGATTTTTTTTCGAAAACGAACAACCGTAATAAATTTTATCATCGTGTATCCAATATTAAACATAGTTTTGGGAAATATTCTCGCATCGCGCTGCCGAAATGATCAAAGTTTATCTCCGAAAAGAAACATTTTTTCGGGTGCATTTTTTCTTTAACTATTTTAGGTTTCAACGTCAGAATAATAAATAAATGTTATTAAAACATGGGAGCTAAAGTTTGCGAACGATGACCTTTGTGCAAAATCTCGTTAACTTGAAACGTATTTCAAGTTTCACGATCGAAATGATTTTTCGATCATCCGAATTTGATCGTGTGAGGGATGACCTTCCGGGTCAAATATGGAAAGTCGGCGCGATTCACAATTCATTTCTTCCCATCAGCGTAGGATCTCTAAACGGACATTGGAAGGTTGTCCCGATGATGTATGTGACCCGTTTTAGCGAGGATTCCTGTAAGCGATCCATCTCGGTTAAATCAGCATCACCGTTCGTGATCGGGCGCATTAGAATGGCAGATATGGCTCGCGTTAAACACGCACGGAGAAAAATATTTGGTTGGCACAGAAAATTGTTAGTTACTACGGGGACAGCAGAAAGATTCGTTGGACGGAAAAAATAATTTTGCTGTCGATTGTAGCAAAACAAGTCGTTGCGACAGCGGTTAAATTTCGTTGGCATAATCAAATTCTCTTGCCGTCGATATATCCGGTAAATTAATATTCTTAATATATTTTTTCGCTGTCCCTATAATAATGAATAATCTATCGTGCTGGCAAAATATTTCTCTTCGCGCGGAGAATTATCTCTTAACATTGCACACACTTTCTACAACAATTGCAACTCCGTTCACTCAGATATTGGGAATATAATTAAATTCCCGCCGTTGACTTTAGATAAAGCTGACAACAGCGTAT